GTACTAGTCAAGCACTAACCCACCACAGAAGCCATATTTTGATAACAGAAAGCAAACACTGTAATTTAAAAAAAAAAAATAGATTTGTTAAAATATACTTTAAAACTCCATAAATGAAGTTTACTAAGATGAGTCATCTCAGCACATTACTGTGTTTATATACATAAACCTTATCTTTTTTGCATCCAGCAACTTGACACATCTGTGAATCAAGGAAAGCACACTTATAGAAAGACAAAATTGATTTTTTTAAAAAAAGATTTAATTTTAATCTATCATTTTACAGAGTTAAAACCACTGCCATGTCAATCCTGTTTCTTTAGTATGCGTTTCAGGTACTGCCCGTAACCATTTGATAAATCCAATATTTACTCTATTTCTAACATGAAATGGCTAATGATAAGCAACAAAAAATGGCCAGTCAGGCAACTGATTTCTGAGAAATGTCAACTTATATGGTGGCTCAGAAATAAATTATTTAAAAAAAAACTTGCTGGATGCAGAAAAATAAAAACACAAAATAAAAAGAAAGATAAAAAAAAACCCTCCCAGAAAATAAAACAACAGGCATAACATCAAGCTGATGGAGTTTGTACTGCACCTTCTTCCTGCTTTTGGCTAATTTCTGGGCCATCTGCTTAGCATGGAACAAACAGAGACAGGAGAACAGTTAGAGAAGAACTTACAGAGACTCCAAGTCAAGCAGGAATCTGCATGCTAATGCCAAGGCTCACAGATTACTAGCTGTCCTAAATTAGTCATTGCTTAGATTAATTTCCTCCTTTTCTTTTTGGCTTTTTTTTTTTTTTTTTTCATATTTACCATAATTACTTTAAAAAAATGAAAAGAAACCACACCGAAAGATTCAGGAAGAACACAAAAGTATTTTTTTTCTATTTAAAATGCAATTTTCAACAAACAAGAAGTTTTAGTTACGGGGTTTTTTCTTGGTTGGTTCGTTTGGTCTTTTTTTTTTTTAAGAAAAAAACCAAGCTTCTCCTTATTTACAGCAGCATAAACCATGATACTACTTCTTTTGAAGCAACAGCAGTGTAGACGGGGAGAGAAGCATCTTAACCATTACTATTCCATCTTTTTCAGACCTAAATAATTTAGAGTCAAGTTTCCTAATGATCTCAGACTTAAACAGTCTTCAAAAAATAACCTGCCTAAAACTGCTACTTTTGCCTGGAAAAAAGAAATTACAGAAGGCAACTATCACCTTCATTTTCTCCTCCTTCTGTGCAAATACACCCATACCTCTGTCAGCACTGTGCATCTGGACAATGCATTTTCCTCTGATAGCTGCACAAATATATGTCCATACTAACATATTTTTTAAAGAAGGCAGTAAATCACGTACTTCAGTCCCACAAACATCTGAAAATAGGTCTGTTGCCAGCAAGTAGTTTAACTGATTTACATCCAAAGATACAGTAACTCATCGCAACAAACTGATTCCTTATGTGCTACCACTGTGGCAAAAATGAGAACATGAATAAGCACCATTCTTACAGCCATGCAATCGTCAATCCAAACCAAGGAGAACTGAACTTACAGACCTGCTTATTGGAGAAATGAAGTACTCACCAGGGTGGCAGATAGCTTTTTACTACCAACAGCAACAGCCTCCTAGATCATTAAATTGACAGGTGTTCTTGTTGTGGGAAGGAAGCTCACTATTACATGCTTCACAGAGATGCATGGCTAACTACTTTTACAAAGAACAAACTGAGGGCCTGAATCACAAGATACATCAAATGTTTTATACTGATCCTTGCAACTTAAACCTGCCAGGTTTTGTCTAAACAAATATGAAAGCAGCTACTGCAACTTTAGACTGCGCTGCTTTATTTACAAATATAAACATTCTCACACCAGCTTTAGTCACCTTTCTGAAGCTAAGAAATGTTTGATAGCCTGCTGATTGCAAACTACTGCAAAAGCAATTACAACTGCCTCATGCTGCAGGCTTTTCATTACATTAATACTAATTTACATTGGTACTCAGAAATAATACACTCATCTTGAATAACATACACTAGGCCAAGAGGGAGACACTAATGAGATAGAGCATTTAAATTGCTTTCCTAAGTCAAGCTCCTCTTTAGACAATTTCATGCCCTCCTCAAACTTTACAGAGTGACTGACCTTATAAAATAAGAAAAGCACAGGCCAAAAAGAAGAAAAAGGGGGAAAAAAATCTTTGAGCTAGAGGTTTACAATGCAGCATCAAAGATTAATCAAAATACTCTATCATCCAATTTATTCCTCTTGCAATGGAATAATTTGGCCTTAGCAGTATTTTCATTTTTTGAAGAATAACTTTCAAATATTTCATAAAACTAGGGTAATGATATGGAAAAAACAATTTTAATAAGTAATTTAACATTGCACAGAAATGACATAAAAGAAGTTATGGTACATGAAAAAAAAAAGGATTATTTTATGCAAGACACTTTATCAGACAAATCCTCTGCATCACCACATTAGGTTGCTAATTTAGATCAAAATATTGTTTCTAAGAAAAAAAAAACCAAACCAAACAAACAGAAACTACCATACCTAAACAATACAGAGTCCAGGCTTTTCCTTTAAAGGAACTGAAATGTAACTATGTAACTAGTAGTAACTTCCAAAATTCTGTATCATTAAAATCCTGGAAACTTCCTCTTTTGCTACAACGATGTGTTAAATACACTTAACCCATTTAATCTCTACAAAAAAATTACTACAATTCAGTGAACACCCAGACAACACTGAGTAAACAAAATGTGCTTAATATTAAAATATATCCACATATGTGCTCTATCTAAAATTACATTCAGTAATTCAATCACTTGTTAACCAAAAATATTCCAGTCTGCCACACTGCACAAATCTGCTGATGAAAAATAAAACCAAGAACTGTTAGTTCACGTGTGAAATGTAACAACACAGATCAGCTGTGAGTTGTAACCACGAACATCCACTTTTTTACGGCTAACAATTATTATGGACTCACTCCAAGTAAAATATGACAAAATACTTCTTTCTGTGCCTTCTGAAGAAATGAGACTATAGTTTGAAAATGGTGAAATGCCTTTTCTAATACTAAAAGTACCTCTGAGTGGAAATATGAAATAACTATTTGATTAATTCTTTCAAAGCGGTGTATCTGTTTTAAGCTGGTTGGACCTTACAGAGACGAATGCCCAAGCAAGAAACATTCTAACTCCTGTACTTTTAACTGAAGAGACATTTGTTTAAGAAAGCAGCATTGAGAATTGTTTTCAAAATCTGTTCATATTCTAGATGAAAAAAGATGTGGTCTGAAGGTTCTGCTAGAAAGGAGCATTTTAGGGATTATTAAATTCAAAAGGAGTACACTCATATGGAATGTATGTGTACACAGTGGGGTTTTTACAAAGCTCTTCCCCCCTTTTCAATGCTCTTAACTTCAAGTCTGCAAATTTTTAAAAGCTCATTACTAATTCATAAACTTTGTTTTCTTGAACTACAAGGAAACATTTCACATGTAAAACCTAACATGCTCTGTAAGCAAACATGATTAGGGTACCAGTGCCATAGTCATTGTACAAGCAAAAATTTACATATTTCTGCTAAAGGCTGTCTTATGCAGTGATGAATCCAGCAGCAGGAACTCCATCTGTCATAATGAAATCATCTTTTTTTTTTTAATTGGCAACTAGTAACAAAACCAGCCCAAACCAACCCTAGTAAACCAAAGACCCTAAGGTGCAGGGAGGTATAGTTACATTGCCTGAGCTTCAGCTAAAGCAGAAAAGCACCAGCTGTAAAAGAAGTATACAATGGTATTGTGTGTCATCCAGCAAGCCAATGATTTTCTGAAATACACTTACGGTTTCAGAAAATTATGCACACCAGCTATGGTTTTATTAGGTCAATAATGCAACTACTGGGGCCTCAGGTAGACAAATTTACTACAACCAAAAATGTGAATGCCTGCTGATTTAAATGTCTGTATAAATTACGAGGTTTATGAATGAAAAGAGCCAAACAGATTTCTGTTTTGAGGCACTGCAGTGCTGAGGCATAACAGAAGCCCCAGAAAGAACTTTATTGTGTTAATGAATTGGTAAGAAATACATTTAGTATCAGAGAAAGATTCTCTACACTATTATACCTCACAGGCCTGCTTTGAATCAATTCTGATCTGGTCTTCTCTAACACATCCCTTCAATCTTTGCCTATTGTGTACAACTCCTAGGTGCAAACCTCCTGCCAGCCCCAGGTTCAAGTTCAACTGCTGACATCAGTTTCCTATGACATCTGATGTTAAACTTTCCTTTCAACTGCCACTGATGAGTCCCTCTGAGATCCAGCCTCACCTGAAGCCCTCATTTCTCTCCCTTCTCTACCATACCTTTAGTTTAGTGCATTCAAATCAAACAACTTTTCTAACACATGGCCAGACATCAGGAAAGAACACACAGGGACTACTAAAAAGATAGGCACAACCTTACTTGCACCCAGACCAGGAAAGAAGACTCTGTAAGGAAAAGTCTTCACTGCAGCTCTGGTAAGAACTCACAAAGACCTGCCAGGGTTGAGAAAACTGGGTGAAAAATCTTTTTAAAAAAATGTCACTGCATCCAGAGGCTCCAAGGAACACAGATAAATAATTGTTCTTCAAAAGGGTCAGTAGTTGCTTAAGTTTCTGGAAACTTCTACAGAGATGGCAGAAGATGACTTATCTGTAACAGGAAGGCTATACCACCAACTCCTCTAAAATGCTGGAATGTAGAAGTTTTATACCCAGACCCAGCTGAACTTCTGGCATGGGACACGTTGTATGGAATAACAACAGTAAGAACCATCATCAGACGTTACCAGCCAGTGCTACTGGCCTTGCTGATAACATGCTGACCCACTTCCTCTCTTATACAATTTCACACAAAGTCTGAGATGGAATCCAAAATAAACTATTCAAAAGAAGAACACACAAACATTAAACTAAGGAAAACTTTCAGAGGACATTGTGTTAGTCAGCTGAATTAGCAGAAGATTAATCTGTGTGCCTACCACCTAGTCATGTAGGTATAGAGGGAATATTGCATCACTCTCTACAACAGTGCAATACTTCATCCACACACATTAGTTTCAGTTGACAACATCACCACTGTAACTTCCAAGCGAGTATCACATCCATTGCCTGTCACAGCCCATAGGCTGTAGCCTACGTAACCAGTAGGCATTTCTGTTTTCCAAACAAAGCAAATGTAGCAGATTCTAAGATAAATTATTTTTTTCCATACCCCTCTGTACCATCAAAGGCTTTCCTTTTTCTTTTTAAATTAGCTCACAGTTATTACATGGTAGGAGAAAATAGTATCCACAGCAGGGTCAAAAATAACTACAGACATTGCCGCAGTACCATTTCCATCAAGTGATAAGTCAGAAGCTGCTGCGGTACTTACTAGTTACACCCCAAACCTGTTTTCCCTCAACACCCAGATAATACATAACTCAGACCATCACTCACTTCAGATTCTGGTTCACAGCACATGGTACAAGTATTACTACAGGGAACTGAAATAATCAGGCAACTTGTCCTTGTCAGTCTTGTTCCAAAAGAAGCATTAAACACGATTTATTTTGCAGGAGGAAAGATGAGGCACTTAACCTTTCTAAAACCACAGATAATCCCACATGAAAAAATTACTGCATACTTAAGAAGTTCATATCGACACCCATATGAGAAGCACCAGGAATTATTCCTCACCTTGATCCTGCTGACAGCTTCCTGAGCCTGCATCATTCTCACATTCTTGGAGGGAGTTTTATCAGAAAGGAGCTGAGTCGAGCCAAGGTAATTGGCAGCAAAAATTATTCCATCGATTAAGTCTTCAGGATCACAAGGTCCAGGAACTGTAACACAGGAAATCAGCCACTGAAGAAAATAATGCTGAACTCCAGCAAAACAGCAGCACTCTGACAACTTGAGCCTATGGTGGCTCATGTGATTGCTGCGATGCCTTCTCTGATATACTTCAGCTTAGCTTGATATTATGGCATCCAGTACCTTCAAAGGTACCAAACAATTTCTCAGAGAAGCCGCCCCTATAGCCCCCCTGCTACCAATGCCTTGCCATGCAAACCCAAAACCTCAAACCAACAGAGGATGGTGAAGCGCTCAGTGCCCAACAATGTAAATCCTTTCAAAGGATCTGTACGTGTTTTGGTGTTTGGCAATCACATCTAAAAATTGCATATGTAAAAATATTCTACTTTAACACCTTGCTACATGTTAAAAGGGAGGCTGATTAATCTAAGAAGTTTCTTGTTTTCTTACAAGTACGGAAAAACAACTGATGTTCAAGACAAATAAAAATGTAAAACATCTTAAAGAATCCTAATGATGAAAGTTTTATCATTTATCATTTTATCACCAAAAAAAGACCTAGGTTTAGGTTTGCCTTTTTCTCCTCTAAGAACAAAGCAAAACCCCTACAATATCAGAATGGAGTTTTTATTAGTTCAAGGGGTAAGTTGGTATATAAAGTGATGGGGCTTGAAGTTTAACATTACTCAGAGTGACAGTTTTGTTCTAACTGTAACAGAAGAGATTAGCAAACTCTCTGAATAATCATGGGTAACTTTGGCCCCTAAGAAATACAAGTCATTAAGATTAAAATAACAAAAGAAAGAGCTGGAGATAAATATTACACTACAACCATACAGACAGAAGCAGATGTATAAATCTTAAGAGCAAGCTTGTTTCCTTTACATTTTCTCCTTTACAGTTTCTTTAAATACGAAAACTTATGAATAGCAATTTAAAGATGCTCATCTCCAGTATGCAGGATTTGTTCAGATGTTATACATCTAGAAAGCTCTCAAAATTAACAAGTCACTTTCAAGTACACAACCCAAAGAAACCAAATATTTTCTTTAGAGAAACTGATGCATCTGGAAGCACTAGATATTTTCACACTCCTCCAGACCTGAAACCATAAAGCATATTAACTTAAAGCCTTTTCACCACTTCACTATAAAGGGTGCAAACCCCTTAATAGTACAATTTCCACAAAACCACCATAAATATAGGCTGACAAAGAGGTAGATAAGAATCCGTGAAGGAAGCTCTATTTTCATCAGAGGTGAACACACAGATAGTACTGTTGTTTTGCCTAATGCAAGACCTCAGAAAATTTTAGTTTACAAATTAATTTTTTTTAAGGGGAGAGGATTATTTAAGATAGCTATTTATAGACAGGGCCACCACTAGAAGATGAGTTTCAAATTTAAGAGAGATCCTTCACTGTTGCAAAATTCTGAAGCTCAGCAACTTCAGAAACAACATATAAAATTTATATCAGTTAACATTCTGTCCACATACTCCAAAATATACAGCACGTGTGCTGAAGACTAAACCAATGATCAGTTCATAGTCTAAAGAGAATAATCACATAATTGTTTAAACAGAGAACACTGTAAAGCAATCCCAGGAGTTCCAAGACAGTCCAACTGATGTATGATGTCAACTGTACTTCTGGCATTTCATCAAGCAAAAGGAATAACTGCTGTCAGGGGAAAATAAAACCAAATGAAACTTTGAATTTTCTGCTGCTGTCATGCTCTCATAAGGAAGCAACTGGGTTTTACAGCACGCAGTCTTCCTGTGTACACAAGACTCAGACCCACACAGAAGGTAACAAGTGGTTCACGTGCCAGGTAGCTTCTTTTTCACACTGTCCTGAATAAATTCAGCACCAGTACAAACAAAACTTAACTCCAAGACAGAAAGCACTATTTAATCAGCGGGCAAGCAGTTGTAAAGCAGTGCAGATTTCCTCTGGCAGGCCTGCGAATTAATCTAATTAATTCAATTCTGATAATTAATCCAACTGAGATTGGATTGAGCCTGCCAACTGAAGTCAGTGCTGGAGGACTACAGTCTTCCTGCCTAGCCTATTTCCTTTGCCCACACACATCCATATGGGTTGTGTAAACACTGTTAAAAAGTATCAGAGTTTCAAGTGGTATAAATAAAAAAACAGTAGAATTGACACAGAAGCTATGAATGAAAGACTAAAAAAAATAAAAGGTCCATGTTTCTGAACTGCCAAAAAAGCACAGTGGGCTTTAGCTCAGGTTCTAGATTGTATATGTGTCTAAATCAGAACACCAAATCCTAGCAGCTTTTCTACTCAGCAATTAAAAATAAAATTTTACAAATTATAAGTATTGAAGTTAGGTATATGAAACAGCATTTAGAAATTGTAGAACTATCTTACCTTCAACGTAGGTTGGAAAGGAAGCCAAGCTTTTTCTGGACTGAAATTAAGACAAAAAAGTATTTCAAACAGAACACAGCACACATAAATATGCATTAAAAAATTTCTCCATGCCTCCCCCATGCCCCCAAAAGAAGTAAATTAGTAATATTTTTTATCAAAGGAAGATCATCACTCATTAAGATTTATTATATTGTTAGTACTTTAAAACTCTAAGTACCTATTAAGAGTTAAAATCAATGCAGTCCATTTGTGTCTTTATCTATCAGGCAACATTCTAGGACCAGCTTTTAGTTACTTTTTGGTGTTCAATAGCATATTCAATGTCTGCCAATAGGTGCTCAACTTTTGAAAGCAAATCAGATATATGAAGGAAAATATATCGTATCTCAAAGACACTGGGACTTTCAACTACAAATAAATATGTGCAGAAATATATAAAATTATGCTACACAATTATTATTTATGACTGAAACAATCATCCCAGTCAGTTCATTAACCTGATTCTGTTATTCAAGAGGACTGGTTTTAGATGTATGCCTCACATTAATACAATCTCCAAAAAACTTTCTAAATTTGAACAGGTTAGGTAGCAAGCTGTATTCTGCTGTGTTCTGTGGAGTAACTGAATTCACTAACACCTCACCACCAGCTACGTTTACAGTGTATTAAGCACAGAAACACATACGGTAGTTTCAATTATGTTAAAGGTGGACAAATAAAAGAAATCCTGACTTGTAAATACACAGTGTAAACTAAGACCTTATTTCCAACTGCAGTTTTATGTGAACAACTCTGTGGCTAATACCACAAACACCCGAGAGCTACAACTTCCGGTAAGATTCACCGTTTTGTTACACTCAGTAACACAAACCACATAGGAAAATTTGTCAAAGAAAATTCTGTGTGGCAATATAACGATGGCAATAGGCATTGAAATATCTGCTATCACAGGTGTTGCAGATAAGAATTTTGGATAGTCCAAGAATTACAAAACTTTAATGAATCTACAACAGATGGTACTAGCAGTAACTCCTCCAATGACTGGTTAATATGTTTTTATTAAAAGAAAATCTATATATGGTCAGAATAATGCATAGTGCCTTATATGCATAATTTTCAGCATATTACCAGACAATATAGATTGGAATATGCGCCAAATTATTTTCCTTTATGACGGACAGTGTGCTAGGTCCTATGTAATAATGGAAAAAAAGGTCAACTAGGAAGGTCACAACTACATGACTGGTCAAGGGACTAATCTCAAAGAGTCTTTTCCATTGTAATAAATAGAAAATGGATGTAACAAGTAAAATTTTTCAACAAATTATGATATTTATTTTGTTATTTTAAAAAAATATAAAAAAATCAACAGGTGCGTGACACAGACATCAGATCCTGCTATTCCTTATGCAAATGACTAAGCTGTACCAGGAAACCAAGAAAGCTCTCTACCAGAGATTGGTTTTTATGTTCGTGTATTTCTCTCTATTTATGCTAGTACAATCTCCTGCTGCCAAAGCATTTAAGCTGCTGTGAGGCCACTGACATGCCTTTTCAGATCTGTGGCTCTTTCATGTCTTCAGATGACTGTTTACTGGACTACCTACCAATGCAGACTTAAACAGTTTTTTGCAATTGCTGCTGTTGTACTGCTAAGAGGAAGAGTCAACCACTGGTCTCTGACAGGCCTAGAAGACAAAACCCCTACATATCTGAGACAGTTCACACATAAAAATGCCCCCTCCAAAGTATTTTTACTGTTTTTTAAATAGAATGAACAAAGCTTGTAATTAAAGATTTGGCAACTACTCAGTGACTTGACTAGCTGATACAACCTCTTTTCAGAAAAGTGGTTTAAACTGCCATCATATGTGCTTTTATTGCAAAAACCCACACATATTAAGTTTTCAGTTCGTTACCCAGGTTGAAAGACACTCTACCAGGACCACAGGAATAATAAAGCAACAGGTACAGTTACCAATACAAGGCAACCTGCAGTATTAAATCTTACATATCCATGAATAATGAAATACCAAGGTCACTAATGTTTCATTAATCTTGTTGCCATCTAGTATTATAAAATTTATATTTTAAAAAAGGGTATTACTACGATCTCTAAGTTATTCCCCAAAATTTTAAAAACTACTTTATCATTGTTGTTCTCACATTGTAAGTATGAAATTAAGCATGCTTGCTCATCTGAGGAAAACAAACAGCCTGAAATCCTACAGTGAAACCTTCTTTACTACCTCTGACACTATGTGTAACCACATCATAAAACCAGAAATTAATTACATCTGGTTTATTTTCTTCCTTCAGGAAGTTCATTGCTATCTAAAAACTACTGAAAGTTAGGATTGCATATGATGTGACAAGTCTGTGCTGAAGAAAGCTAGCAGCTTTAATAAGTTAACAATATAGCAGATGAAAATCTAATGGTACAATCTGTTGTTTAATGCTTTAGCACATGAGAAATTATGAGTTTCTTATCTTTTGAAACCTTTAATAATTTTCTTAATGCAAATACATACTGGCACAAATGCATACATCTTACAGGCTTTTTTATCCTTGAAAATAATAGAAGAAAAGAAGCAAGAATGGATTACTAATTAGTGTTTCAATTTTAACCAGTATTTCCAGTTATAGTAAATCAGTTTTCTCTCTGTGGAAGACAACATGCATTGCTATCAGTAACGATATAGTATCTTACATCTAGTTTTTTCTTAAGTTTAAAAATCAAAAAGCATATAAACAAAATATTTCAGAATTTTCTTTTTACAGCAATACCTCCATGCCTATTAAACAAGTTCAGTGGCAGCTGAACACAGGGTCAGCAATGCCATGATAAACAGTTCTAAGTATGTCAGTCAGACAACCAGGCAAGCTTAGGGAAAGGAGCTACAAATCAGCTTTGCAAGTTTGTTGTGGTTTTGGAAGAAAAGAAGGGATTGCACAGGTACAAGTGGGCAAGGAAAATAAAAAGGTATAAGCAGAATGAATACACTGAGGCTTTTAAAGAGATTTCACGCTACCTCTTTGTTAGAGGAGGCCTCTGCTGTACTGCGGACATCCTGGTGATGTTGCCTACTCGACGATTCAGCACCCCGTGGTGAAGAGGAATCTGGAGATGGAGACTGACATGGCAAGAAAATTAAATAATAATTTAAGTGATCAACGTAGAAATTCTTCTTTCCTATTTTCCTCTAACTTGACAGTGAAAATAAGAGACAAGAGGGGGAAAACAAACAAACAAACAACAAAGCCCCAGAAAAAAACAAACACTTTTAAGATGTTGTAATCCCTGCTTTTTATCATAATAGTCACTTAAATATCTCAGTGAACTTATTCTGAAGAGCTAAATCTTTCAAAAAACACCTAGGTTTCTTTGTCAGTAATGTATGAAACTAAGCAGCTGTAAAAACAAAAAGCTGTAGTTAGTGTCAAGCAATACTCAGCCAAAAAGCGTGTTATAAAACTGATTTTGAAAGGTGGATGGTCTTTTGATATCCCTTTTGGGCCAACTACTAACACCTACTGTCAGCATTCAACTAAGCTGCAGTTATGGGACTTCCAGTTGCAGAAATGCACGTCTACTCCATGCAGGCAAATGATTGTGAGCTTACTGAAGGCTGCAGGCATTGTAGACTGATGTCCTAAACTCTGACATTCTAGTGAAGAAAAGATGAAATCAAGAAGTAAGATGTGATGGGAGACAGGTGAATTGAGCTTGAGAACACTGGGATTCAGCTGAAGACTGCTAACTGTCAGACTGGGGAGAGTGGGGAAAGACTGCAATACTGCAGTTTCCCAACAAGCACACATGCTCCCAGGTATAATTTACCTGAAGCACTAAACTAATCTAACCTAAGCAGAGGTAAGCTGCAATGGTTGTCCATAAATGTTATTCCATCACCTTAAAAAATAACTTTTTTAAACTGTACAGACTAATACTAAGGTATCTATGGAGTTATGAATATATTCAAGGACTATTCTAGTATAATCAAGGACTATGATTTGCCATCCATAATATTTCCTTCCAATATGGAAAATATTTCACAGTTTGTGCTATGATCTCAGTACTGTATATGCTCTCCAGATCAGATTTCCTCATTTTTCTTCTTTCATCAAAAACAATTCAGTGGAGAAACTGTCTTTCCAATCATGTCCTAGCCATTCATGATCATCAAGAAAAGCAAAGACAACAGCATGGAAAAAGCAGGATGATGGAACATCTAGATCAATGTAATCCATTAACAAGTTTCCTGACAGAGGGAAAAAATGCTTCTGGAAAGGATATTCTAACCACAGGCAATTCCTAATGAATATTGGTGACACTAAAACAGTGTAGCAAGGTATCTGAAGTCCAGAGCAGGAGGGACTGGTGTGGGAGAATGACACAAGAACACAGAGTGTGGCATTAATGAAAGTGACCAAAATGAAAGAGATTACAGAACTTCAATCCAGCAGGCATTTTAAAAAGCGGATCTTAAAGACATTTAAGGACATACTTGCAAAACATGTTACTGCCAAAATGTAAACCCTCAAAGAAAGGCTTAACATTTAGCTATGCAAAGTGGGTGTTTAGCCCCTCATCCCTGGCATTCTGCACTGTCCTTTGACATGGGGAGTTTGGCCCCAACTTTGCCAGCTCAGCAGTTTGCCACTGATGGCAAACCAGTCAAAAATTACTCTTTCTGATTTCAGGTGACATGGCTCTTCTATAGGCCAATGAGTCATACCGGAAAAGGGCTACACCTCCAGTGCTCTGAGCTGGCAGCAGCTCCAACCTAAGAGTGCTCTCCTGCTATGCCTCCACTCAAGCTGAAATGTTCCAGTTCTGTGAAATAAGGTGAAAAAATATCTCAGTTTTGCAAGCTTAGCTTCCCAGATACAGAGCAAAACAGAAAATACAATTCCCTTCTCCTCCTCTTTCTCTTCTCCCTCACTCCTTTAAAAGGTCTATCTTGCATAATTACTAAATATTAGAATTATAGTTAACTCATAAAAGAGTCAAAGAGTTAAGCAATTCCTTATACAGATATCTAGTGGATAAAAGAGCAGTCCTTGTATCTTTCTATATTTTGAATTACAATTGCAGGGCAAAAAGAAGATGCAGCTATGAAGTGGTCCCTAGAACACTGCCAGGTGCTTGCTCCATCAGACTGAAGGATTTCACCTCTGTAGGAGAGACACAGGCTCCCTTGACTGCTCTCTAAACACCAGAGCTACAGGGCCGTAATGACCCAGCTGCCCAAACAGCAACTCCTATTTAGTCAAGGAAGCATCCTCATAGTGCTCACCTTCTCAACTGTCATAAAGTATTTCTGCATTAGGATTAAATATAAAACGTGCACAATTCTATTAAACTAATAATGACATCAGGATATTGTAGGATTGATCTTTAAAGAGTAAACACAGAAACCAAGAAAGTACATCATATTTTAGCACCAACGTTTTTTTAAAACAAAATTATTTAAAATGTCTGAAAGCTCTCATATGCACACATAGAAAAGATAACAATAAATTACATAATTTAAACAGTTGGTTTGTGACATGAATAAATTCTGGACCATTTAAAATGTATTAACAGTTACTCCAGTAGCACTACAAGTATCTCCACTCAGCTATTCTCATCTACAAAGTATCAGAATTAAGTAATCATCAAAATGATCACAGCTTTCCATGTGCTCTGTTTGAATGTCTGCTCAATCTTTTCTGGGACAAAAAAAAGCTCAAACCTAAGCTACCAATCCCAAATATCAAACATCCTACAAAGTTTGCTACATGACATGACATGAGAGCTGTCCCTCAAAACACTTGTGCAAAAAAGTTCAGTCTTTGAAGAATAAAGTCAGTTCTTTTCTGCACCAAAATGCATTTTTAGAGATACCATATACAATGCACAAGGAAAGAATGCAGTCACAGCAATAACAAGGAACATTTGGATACACCATAGTGAACATACAACTTGCGTAGCTTCTGAAAACACTACAGCTGAAATCTAAAATAAATCCTTCTTTGCCTGTTAACAAAACAAGTTTTAGGAGCTTAACCAAAATGCTGCCAGAACAAACATAGTAGAGTGTATGTGATGCACACTGTTATTATGTAGAGAGGTCCAGCACTGGAATCACAAAGTATTTTCTTAAGTGTAGCAATAAAAATGTACTAGTTACCCTGTTTCTCCTCTTGAATATCTACTTACATTTTTCTTATGATACTCAACCTGGTACATCCAAAAATTCTCCATCTCGGTTTTGCTGTCGTTTGAATCTAACTCACAACCCACTCCACCTGAGAAACTGTCCTTGCTATTGTGCAGAGGGATTGAGTAACAGACCTTGTAACAGGAGAAGATTATGTTGTATCTAACCTATCCAGGTCAACCCAGCTGGCTACTGAACAGACCTCGACGGAAAACTGACACTGAAACATCTTCAAAGACTGCTCTCCCTTTATAAAAGTAGTCGTGTTTCATGTGCTTTTAGCAGCAGTTTATCTGAAAGGAGTACAACCTTGTGTGTCATGTCAATCACATACAGGACTAGAACAGAAAGGATGAAATCAACAAATACTTCAGCAATGCAAGAATCAGTTAAACAAAAGGCCATTACTTAGATGACATAATGTCCACCCGCAGGCTTCTGGGCAGAAGGATGGCAAATACAGTCATTATTTGTACATTAGTTCAATGTACAAACTAAGGAGACAACTGATAAAGCAAGGCTTTTAAATTTATTTTTGTTTTAGTGAGAAAAAATCTTCTGAGAGGTACATACGCATCAGGCAAAGGTCAAAACATTATGCAATATTCAGGTCCAACATGCAAATATAGTCAGATGCATAATTTCACAAGCACTGCCCAGAACAGTGCAACTATGGCACTAAATCTCTTAGGTTTTAGCACACGGGGCAGAGTATCTGCTGTGATCTGAACAGTTCAAATTCTATTCACTAAAATGTCTATCAACACACATTCATAGCTTTTACATGGCCTGAAGTACCAATAAAGACTGGAGCTGAAAGCCAAATTCCCTTCCAATATAACTAATCATCATTATTGGTTGACTTTGACTAAATTTGCTTTACCTATAGTGTTAAAAATGGAGGGTTTGGGAAAAAAAAAAAAAAAAAGTCAGCGCTATTGTAGACACATATACATACTATGGCAAAATCTATGCAATTTAATTTATAACTGTGACATAAGGATAAAACTTAAGTTTGTACTGTAGTTGTGGTGTAACTGTAACGGTGGCGTAAGTGCCTCCGCACCTAGCCAGTTCGCTGGGTGGTTCAGTACTTTTCCCCTGCCAGTTTGTGGACAGATGATACAATGATCTGGTTTGAGACAAGGTAACTGACTGAACTGCCCACTTCAGAACAGCCCATTTCGCTAATGGCTATAGGACCGCTCCATACAGGAATTTCAGGCAGACTCAGAGTTTCCTCCAGGAGGCTCTTCCTGTGCCTGTAACAAGTGATAGGCACAATTCATCATTTCAGAGTGCTAGCTATCATCCTGGGTAGGGACTCTGGCTAATCCAATAGCTCCCACACGCAGTTTCTGCTGCAAAAATTATCCAACAGTACGTGGACAAGGCACTTGTCCATCAGTGTCTGCACAACACCACTGAGATGTCTCATTGGAGTTACAAAAATAGAAATTTTGACCTAAGCAGTAACTGTGCAACTCTGCCAAAGTCTTTGAAGAAAGACTCCCACCTGTTAGTGTTATATTACTAAGTCTCAGACACAAAATAAATATATAATTTAATACATAGAGGTTTAGCTCTGACACACAAAGTCCACATGAGCAAACAATAAATGTCAGTAACTGAGCCTGTTTAGGGCAAGATCGCCCTCTATTATTCCCATTTCAAAGAGCCTCTTGGGCACAGGAGTCAGTAGCAGTAACCACATAGTACCACAGTCACACTTCATGAGCTGATAACTTCTCTTTGAACAAAATCTAAGGCTGTACAGAGTCTTGACTGTCCATCAGATCACACCCGTGCACTATGAGGGTAGGGTCTGTCCAGCAGCACCCATGCTGGATGGAAGGCTGCCAGCACAGCAGGGCTCCTGGAAGCTGGTTCAGTGCTGGCTGTTCCTCTCTCTATCTAAGTATGGACTTCCTTAGCTGTAGCTTCACTTGGACTCGTAGTTCAAATGTAGCTTGTGTCAGTCAGAAAAAAACATTGTAGGTCCCTCCTGTGTTTTCAAAAGACTAACTGTAACAACTGCTGTTGTAGTTTTCAACAGCACAGAAAAGCACTTGAAACTGCTTTCACCTTTCAATAAATAAAAAACATAATAAAACAAACATGAAAAAAAAATCAAGGGATTATACAGCCAATGTTCACTGTACTTTAAAACCCCATAACTTATCTGGAAAGTATCTGTCTTCAAGCAGACTGATGGATAAATTTAAGCTTTGTTCTGTGCAATGGATGAATCACCATAAAGCTTTCTGCCACCAATATTAAAATGGTTTTTGCTTGTTTGTTTTAAATTATATTTGGTTTGGGGCTTTTAAGGCTTGGGTTTTTTTCTGCACAGTTTTAAGACTGTGGCCTTGCAGATGACAGAAAGATGACCTGTATTCTGTGTGCTCAACCAATAGTCTTAAAAGGTCTTCTTAGAAAAAGGAAAGAGTATACTATAAATATAAACTCATCTTTATTTAATTTCTTTCCTTTATCTTTTCCCCACCCTAGTTTATCTATTGCTGAAACTTGCTTAATTATTTAAAACAGGCTTCTCTATTGCCTTGTTAATAATACATTGCTCCTGCTGTGGAAAAAGCGAAGCAAATTAATCTCCATGAAGACACTTCACTTCTGGAGTTACCAGAATTGAGAAAATCCTGCAACTGAGAACTCAAAAGTTGAAATAAAATATACATAACCAAAAAGAACAGAGAAGCAAAACAATGCAGGTCAGTTCTGTTCTACCTAAAAGGCTTGTTTTCAGCTCTGAATTTCTACTTCACAAATCCAAACCACCCATATATGTGGTATTACTTTATTTAAGGTTTTATTCTAATATTACGTCGTCTTAGGCATAGACGACGTAGAGGAAAGGAGACTGTCAACACCAAGGCGAGGGCTTTGCAAAACCACGTCTTGGCACACAGCAATAAACCATGCCCTGCAGGTCAACAAAGCTTGGCTTTCAGATCTATAACCCCATGCAGAACTGAATGCACGTCAGAAAAAGGTAATGGTATTTACTCATGAAATAGAGAATTTTTCCCTTCAAATCACTGTTTTCTCCTGATTGTGGTACAAGTGAGGCAGGCAGCCTGCTTCTCCTCTTCTTCCCTCTGGACATGAGAGGACAGAAATGATTTTTAAATCCCAACCAAATGAGCTTTTGTGCAATTCAGTGCCTTTTTTCTCAGCAGGTCTCTGTACTTCCACAACTGATCAAGCTAGCATTCTCAAAGTTCTACAAGGTTTTAAAGATGCTTTTTTAGACCTTCCATAAAGTTTATACACCAGAACATTCACATGTATTCTGAGAAATCTAGCACACAAAACTATTCCCTTTTCCACTTGAATATATTCCTCTTTAAGCCCAGATCCATGCGCTGCAAATGTCTTCTCTTTAGACCTTTAAACACCACTATTTCTGTGCTTGGCTAGGCACATTCACAGCAGGCTTCTGGTGGAGAATCTGACAGAGAAGAATGACAGGCAAAAGGTTCCTAAACGCTACATGAGCCTTCACTTCCAGTGAGAGAACTGTATGAATCTAGAAGAAACCCCTAAAGGGTATCCCCCTCCACCACATTCAGACCTGTGTGTATCGTAGGCTCCATGCTGGTTTCCAGCCATGGACATTATTCAGTACGATGTGAACAGATCCTCTCCTATTTCACACTCAGTAAACAAAATCTAACTGCAGTTCCACAGTCTTTGCCATCATTGGCGAGTTCCCTGATGGCTCCTTTCTTGTAGTGGTGCTGCTCTAACTGCTACTATAACTGAAAAAGATATCCTCACGAGGCCATATCCAAGTGATGGTCTGCTGCGGTTCAAAAAGTGTTCTGACAAACAGATTTTGGTAATGTATGTCAGTTGTTCATATCTCATATGCTTGGCAAACTTTAAAAAAAAAATAACTTACTGCATTTATTCAAATGACATTGAGAGAATTTTTCAGCATTTATAAAAATCAAAACACAAACTACCTCTCCAGGCCATCTGTTATTCAAGCAAAGGCATCCATCACTAAACAAGGTTGCACAAGGCACATGATAGTAAATACTCTCCAGTTTTAAATATTAAGCAGGTATTTGAGTACACTATTTATTTATTCACAGAAGTCTGCTGCTTGCCTCACAAGACTAACAAGAGTTTATTACAGCAGAGTTGTCCGCTGGGCTTTTAGCAATCTTCTTTTTTAATATTCCTACTAAACCTTTCTTTCAAGGAGAGATATGTAGCAATGACTGAAATTCCAAACAGATAAGAGTGTTGTGGCTTTCTTACTATCACAGACACCACATGTCCTTCCTAACAGTCCCAAACTATAATGGTCCCCAGGCTGGGCTGGGTGAGTTCCAAGTACAAGTACAGGCTGGGCAGAGTATGGATTGGGAGTAGCCCTGACGAGAAAGACCGGGAGGTGCTGGTAGAGGTAAAGGTCAGCCTGAGCTGGCAATGTGTGAGTGTAGCCCAGAAAGCCAGCCATATCCTAGGCTGCATCCAAAGAAGTGTGGCCAGCAGGTTGAGGGAGGTGATTCTTCAGCTCTACTCTGCTCTCATCAGACCTCACCTGGAGTGCTGCATTCAGCTCCAGTGTCCCATATGGAGCCCCCAACACAAGAAGGACATGGACCTGCTGAAGTGGGTCCAGAGGAGGGCCAGGAAGATGATCAGAGAGCCAAGGAAAGTTTCAGATGCCCCAAGACCAGATGTGTTCAAGACCTGGCTGGATGGAACTTTGAGCAACCTGGTCTAGTGGGAGGTGTCCCTGCCCATGGCAGGGGGGTTGGAACTAGATGATCTTTAAGGTCCCGTCCAACTCAAACTGTTTCATGATGCTATGATTTTCAAGTAAGTTCTATCTCTAAAAGAGAAATGGTGGTGTTAAAAAATAATGTAGGAGCAGTTTTCAAAGTACACCTGCAAAATAACTGAAGGTAATAAAACCACCCAATTTCCATCATTTATCTGCAGCTCCTTGATACTTCCGGGTGAAGAAAAGCGTGTCTGCCTGAAAGTAAAACACTCTCTTTATGTA